CAGTTATAGAAAAAAAAAATATTAGTTCCTCAATATTTTACTATAGCTAGTTTGTATTGACCTTCTATATTTTAAATATTTTTATAATTATTGAATCCTCATTTTATCGTGTAAAAGAGTTATATATAATCTCATGTTTTATAATTAAGTGATTAAATATAAATATGAAATATAAATGTCAAGCTGAATATGTGCGCCTTTTAAAATAAGCATTTTTTTTATGGAAAGGAGGTATATGAGTAGCCTTCAAATATGATATTTCAGGGATGAATTATAGCCATTTGGAATATTTATAATTAAAATGTCTGCATATTAATTTTTTTTTGTCTATACCTTATAAAGATGAGTGTATTCAATATAATGCAAATAAAAATATAATCTAAACAACATACCTTTTATTATTCGATCTTAAAATTTTCATGAAAACTTTTTTCCTGGAATTATTTTTCCAGGAGTCATTTTTCGGAGAGTTTTTTTTTCCCTGGGTAATTTTTTCCGATTTTTCCTAGATTCGTTTAATTTTTATGTTTAAAAATAGATAATATTTTTTTCTAATATAGTTTTTATAATGTTATGTTACACGATATTTTGCATAATAAAATCAAAATATTAATTAAAAATATAATATATAATACATATTTTAAAAAAAAAATAGCTTTAGAAATATTTTTTAAAAAAATCTAACATTCTGCAAAAGTAAGCCCTAAACGGGCAGGGGGTCGGGTCGGGCCTTGGAGTTTTTTTTAAAAATATATCTAAATTTATCAATTTTATAATTGAATTTTTTTATGTAAAATAAAAATATTTGATTTTATTTATAGAAACTAGATGCCATATAACTTATGTCTTTTATTTTGAGTAATTATAAAAATTAATTTCTATATTTAAATATATTTTTTTAAAACAATTTCGGGTTCGGGCCGGGCCGGGCTGGGTTTAAAAAATTCGATCCGATGCAGATCACTAACATAAACAACATAGATTTTCGAAAAAAAATATTAAAGGGAAAATGGATTTGATAGTTAACAGATTAAATAAAATTTATCAATTTGTTTTGTTATAAATTTTCAGATTGTACTAAAATAATTATTATTATCATTTCTATTTCTATTGTTAAAGTTTTTATCTTTATCAGACTTTTTATCGTTATACATATAACTTATATTATCAACATCTGATTTATCATTGATACTATCTAATTTAATTCCTAGCTCGACCATTTCATTTAAGGTAATATTAATATTTTTACAAAATTTATATTTTTTGTCATTTAAGGTCGATGTAAGTAATTTTTCTTTTAATAGACTTATTTAGGGCATAAATTGCGCTAAACAATCGATTTATAAACAAAGTAGAAAAACATGTGTAATAAATAATTTAATGAAAATAGCCCATTTATTCCGCAACTGATTAAGTTTACAAATGATCTTTTTTGTATTAAATTCAATAAAGGTACCAAAACTAAAATAACTAATTTTAATTATAAAACAAACAATTTCATTTATCAATCAAACAAATCCTTTCTTTAACATAAATAAAAACTATAAAAAATTTTCCTTTCCTTTTATATCGCTTTATATTTGCATACTAATAACAGTTTAATCGTTTCAATTTAATACCCAAATAAATATTTGAATTTTCCTTTTGTCACTATTTCCAACATCCCTTCCTTTAGATACCTCTATCTAGGGAACTTACTTTATTTCTCTTGCATTCAAAGATCTGTGCTCCTCATTCTGCAAAGTCATCGTCTCATTACTGACCGTCAGGACTTGATTTAGACAATATCTCATAAGATGATTCTTCCCCACAAGCCCAGATTGCCTGGGTCTAGGCCGATCATATGGATTTATCATGGAATTCCTTAAATTGGTTGCTCCGAACAATGGTAAGGATATTCTTGGTTATTTCGAAAATAATTATATCAATGGAGTATTAAAGGAAGTAGCAAGAGGCAATTCCCCTCCCAGACACGTCAAATGGAGCCTCAATTTCCTTCATAAGCTTGGAACGTGAATAAGAGTACTTTATCAGCCAAAGAACGCATATATAATCATGAGCAAGTCATCGAAAATTTGGTTGAAATAAACAGCCATCAATGGGTATTAATTTACAAAAATGAAATGCTAGTGGCTACCGATGAAACCAAACGTGAACGATGGTGTGTAGGTAGATGGACACCGTGAACTAAGAGTTATAATACCCAGATCCGGTTAAAGTAACTTTATGAGGAATGCCGTGATGGAGTTTGAAGCCTTCCAGAATTTATAAGAGCGATTTCTTTCAATATTCGATGCCAACCTATTTAATTATTATTCCAATTAAAATTTTTATATACATTCATGATGATACAATAAAATAATTATATCTTATTACAAAATTTTAGTCAAATTTAGTATACTTAACATCATAATTGTGGATGGATATTGTATTTATTACTATAGCAAATAATTTTAAAAAAAATAAGAATACATGGGTTATTTTACTGTTTCAGTTTAGAAATTTTATCTTGTTTAAACATTTTTAATATGGAAGGTATATGAGAAATCTGCAAATAATGGATTAGGACATTAAAAAAATTTTTAGCTATAAAATACTTTTTTTATAATAATTTTTTTGACTTGAATATAATATTTGCAATATTATAATTAAAAAATATATCATTAGGCTTTACCAAAGATGAGTGTATCTAAATCTATTATAATGCAATTAAACAGATATAATTTGGCTATACCTTATAAAGATGAGTGTATTTATTATAATGCAGATAAGTAAATTTGATAAAACAAGAAAAAAACTTATGGAGGTTCTTTTTCTGAAGTTTGATTTTTGGCAGAGGGAAAAAGGGTTTCCCTAGGGGTTTTTTTCTGAGAGTTTGTTTAGAAATTTTTTTTCCGGGATTCATAATGTACACTATAAATAAAGAAATTTTACCCGAATTTAAAATAATAAGTGATTAGTAGGGACATGATTCCCCAAATGTTTATCCTGCTGATTATTTCAAAACACCAAGTGGTAGGAATATACCATGCAACTTACGTATATAAAATTGAATATCAGCATGTACACGATATTTCTGTATCTGAACCAAATCTTGTATTTAAAACGGGAACGTGGTGTGCCTATAATTTTAAAGAGAGATAGTAACATAGTAAATCCCGATTGAATAATTGACCAAAGATTTCTATAAGAATGATAATATGCCGTATACCTATTCCGGGAGAGTTTTAAACCAGAATTTGAAAAATTTGATATCTCCCATCATATCCATGAACATTATGAGTAAATTGCGAAGGTTAAAATTAGGATAAAAATTATCTCGTGCTTTTTTCAGACCCAAACATTGTCAAATATTTCCATGACACACACAGTGGAAGCTATGGTTGAGAAAAAAATGAAAAATGATTCAACCTTCTTCGTGTATCGTGGACTAAGGTATGCAGGATCCATTTTTGGGGGTACTAGTTGTTTTAATATCTGAGCGATATATTCCAATGATAGACATTAATGAGATAATTAAAAATAAGTAAAATGTTTATGAATATAGTCATTTTCGCTGAAATTTATATATTTCAAAAAAAAAAGAAATTACTTTGTTTTTTTTTGTTTTTATAATATTAACGTATTAAAATGAAATATAATTATTTTTTATTAAATAATAACTCTCAATTATTATTTTTTATATAAATATATAGAATATAAATATCGATATTGATATTGAAAAAGGAAGGATTTTAATTATTACACGCAACTGATACGATGATAAAAAATTATTAAAATAGAATCTTATTTAAAAATAGCTGGTAGCTCTGTTCAGTGGAACTTAGGCGCGGCATATAGAATTTGTACCCAAGCTTAGGAATAAAAATTTAAGCTATTTTGGGATGGAACTTAGCTATCTAAAAACCCCTTCCAATGTAAACCTTTATTCACCTATCAGCCAGTAAGGTTCTTGATGGGGATAAATCGTAATCTCAATAACAAAGGGACAGCCCCTAACTTGAGATTATAATTGCTAAAATCCTTTGCAAAAATTTTCAAACCAACTCCATCACGTGAGCAGAAAATTTTAAAAAACCCCTAAATACAGTCACTTAATTCTCGTGACATTTATAATTCATTTGGATGGATCTGAAGTTTACATGTTATTCAAATCAACAATAGGATAAAAGTTACGTTTAACATCTCAGGGTTATTTACGGCAAATATTATATCGAAATTTATTCACCTATATTTCTTATATGCATGGAAATTTTTTTAGCCTATTTTAACTTAATAATATTTATTTAATTTTCTTTTTTTTATATATTGTTTTTTTATATTATTTTATAAATATTATATCTTTTTTTTTCAAATATTTAAACATAGTTTTTTTAACATGAATTTTTATTTGAAAATTCAGATTTAATATAAATAAATAAAATGACAGTATTTTTTAACTTCTTTTTAAAAAATATTAAACAAAATAATTAAAGAAAAATAATTTAGACGAACTAAATTCCTAGTATATAACGCTTTAATCCCTATTATTCTGACTAAGATTTAAAATTAACTGATTTCAATTTTGTCAATCAAAATAATCATCTGTTTTATATATACTTCATTTCATGAAATATGTCTCAAAATTTTTTCATCACATGATTTCATCATATTTTTTTAAATATATAAATCTCAACATTTTTGGAATCACGTAATATGTTTGAGGAAACATAGCTAGTAATGTGCCCGATTGGATAATTTTTTTAATTTTTCTGACAAAAGATTCGATATTTTTGCCAGAAGCCTATAGATTATAGGATAAACATTCATTTATTGTTACAAAAAGGATGGTTTTTAAAAATTTTATCAATAAATTATGGCAATCTACACAATTAATATATATATTCGAGATTCTCTTTTGTCAGATTATCGCTATAAGGAGAAAGAATAAATTATATGGTTGAAAGCACTATAACACTAACGTGGATAGCTCCCGTCAAATAGCAATATTCAAAAATAAATAATCAAAATAACACATATAATTTATTTAAATTTATTGCTAAATATATAAGAATTTCAAAAATATAAATCAAAAAAATTGTATAAAATATTCTCTAAAGTATCATCCCAAAAGGTTTCAATAATGTATTTGTTTATGATAGTCGCCATGCTCATAACCCCCATCATGGCGCCCGTCATGGTCACCATCGCCATCATGGTCCCCGTCATTACCATTGTTAACATCATCAGTGGTGAAAGGAATCGCTGTAGTCTTAAGGTCAGGGTTACATTCGCATATAGGGCATCCATCCCCATTTAAGACGTTTCCGAATGGACAATAAATTTTGCAGACAGGGGGGCATACTTCAGGTTCTTTGCACTTGCATATTGGGCAACCATTATTATCTAAGACATTTCCGTATTGGCAGTACATATAGCAGAGAGGCGGGCAGGTATCAGGTTTACAGGGGCAGTACGGGTCGTGATATCGTTCTGTTGTCGGTGGGAGAGGAGGTTATAAATATTTATATTTTACTCTTATCACGATTTTTAAAAGGTCCGCTAAAATTTAACGTATACTTAAATAGAACATAATCTACCTTATATTTCATTTATATATAATATTTCCCTTTACTTGAACGTCCTTTGACTAACATTATGGTTGATATGACACATAATAGAAGAAAAAAAGCGCGATTGTCTATAATATTCATTCTTAATTTTCGCAAAAATAATTTTATAAATCTCCAAAAAAAAATATTTTACTTTTATATACTTATCAAAAGTTTTTGGATGTTAATCGAAAATAATGACTTTTTTAATTTTGGTGATTTGAATATATTAAAATCAAAATTAATTGTCAAAAAAGATAAAATTTTAGATTTTTGCCAATTTGTCAATTATTTTTATTTTCTTACTAAAATTAAAAGGTAGAGAAAGAAGAGAGAGGTTTGGCTAAAAATAAAAATAAACAATTAATTTCTTAAAATGGTTTTTTTTAAATTTTATATTTTTTACGATGGATAGTTATTATACTTTTAGTTCGGGAGTGTATGGCAAGGGAAGGGGGTACACATACCAATATATCTCTAACAAAATTAGCCCCCATATAAACATCTGTTTGATTAAAATTTTGGGTTTTACTAAGATTGAAAAGATCCTTCTTCATTCTCAATTTTTCTGGTCGGTTTCCGACCCCGGTAAAATTTTAAGTTTATTCAGTTTTCATGGTTTTATATATATATATATTCCTTTCAAGAAATATACCAAAAAATTTTTATTTACCTTGAGGAGCGTTTATAATATTCTCCCTTTCTTTATGAGCACTTATCTCTTTATTCCAATTAACCCCTGTGTTCTGTAACTTCTTTTTTTTATCATACTTTGAAATCCTTTCTGGAATCAGGGTTAATGATAGCAATTTAATATCTACTTTTTAAGTTTAACCAATCTTTTTAATCTGACTAATATTTATTTCGAAAATGATCAAACTGTTCTACATCTTATTCACTTAACCGACTGCTTGGAATCAATTTCGTTATTGCTGAGCATACTCTGCCTGTATTTGCTAATAATGACAGAAAATATGCACTGTTGTAGAAGTTAATCTATGTTTGTAATTCCAATCCATTAGCTCTTATCATACCACAAACAATAAGAGCCACTTGATAATTAGACGGGTGTAAAATTTAATCACAGAAAAAACCGAACTATCCACTTCATCGAAACAGATAGATAACTAGCTGGTCTAAACTGTTTATATTCGAAAGGCCGGTTCAATCGACATAGAGTTATTAACTCTAATCTCGAATAAATTAGGGTTGGCCTCCGCTTATCCCTCTCTGATGGGAACAACTCATTTTATTTTTCCAGATTATAATATTATATAGAGGATAACTTGATTAGCATAAGAGGAGGAAACATTTTATCGATAGAAACTACAATATCCCCCTTGACTGATTATGAACCGAAGGACGATTCCAAACCATATGCATAATGCCGCATCCAAGATCTTAGGTTCTGATTCAAATAATTCTGAAGTCGCGCTACCCGACAAACATTTTATTAGAATAATACATTATATACATCGAATTTAAAATGCCAACATATTTTTAGTTGTTTCCTTTTTTTTCAATATTAAATGCTTTTATAAAGAACTAGATTATAACGCAAGGTTTTAGAAACAATATTATAAAATTATACTTCCTTGATGACCTGCATTCGTTAACGACAATTAATCTTTTACCAGTTTCTCGATACTAGAATTTTTATATAAATACAAGATTCAGTTTGTGTTCAAAATAAGTAAATATATTGATTAACTAAAATAAGATAATGCCACAACTACCCGCGAATTCGTGTTTTGGTATATTATGTAGGGAATATTTAAGAACTGAAATGTTAAACCTTATAGCGGAGACTGGGTCTATCATATTAATAAAAATTTTGGGGCCACAAAATATTGCTGAATAAAATTTTTCAAGCAAATTTATAAGGCAAAAAAAAATCTTATATGCCGTTCATCTCTATTTTTTCCAGTCAGTGAAAACCTAAATTTTTAAAAAATAAAAAATTTTGAGTTATAAAAAACAAGGGATGTATTTGCCTTTTTTGGGGCATGTTCTATCCTATTTTTATCCAATTTATATAAACCATTTAGCATTTTTAATGTGTTCAAATGTTCAAATACAGTTCTATAAAGAGGCTATCATGTATAAGTACAATGAAAATATCTAACAACATTGCAACTGTCAAAGAAGATTTCAATGAAATCCATACATTGTTGGAGAGTATGGCTGTATTTCTTCATTAAAAAAAATACTTGGTTAAGTTTTCGGAAATAAGATATTAGAGAAAAAATTTATAAAATCTTTTTGCATCTATCAAGAAACAACTAGTAACACCAATGTATCCTAAAGGAGTACCTCACAATGATCTAAGAAATTTTTTTCCCAATATTAACGTGTGTAATTAAATTTTATAAGGTATTAACATTGTGGTGTCACAATTGTAGTATGTTCGGATTCTCGTCTCTTCCAATTATTTTCTTTGAAATTTAAACTGTTGTTAGAATATCCTTAAAAAATATTTGTCAAAAATATGCTAAATTATCAGTTTAATCCATCTTACATAAGTATTCCCTCGGACAAGAACTTGTTATTAAAACTGTCATGTAATATTTTTTTAAAAAAATAAATAGGTTAACCATTTTCATATAAAAATTAATGAAATGCCAAAATTCCATTATCTTCTGACATATTATGTAATCAATTCACACAATATAAAAATACTCCTCTAATTCTATATAGTGCATAAGAACTTGATTGTTTCACCGATATCAGATGCATATATTGTTATATATATATATATATATAATTAAGAATAAATTCCAAAGCAACAAGGCCTGATAACGCTTTCGTTCTAAATTTTTAAAAAAAAATTTTGTATTTATTCAAAGGTTCAAAAAAAATTTTTTAATAATATTCCAAGAAAAAAAATTATATATTTTGCACTAATTGTCCAGTCCTGCTCACGAAGAGAGTTTTTTTTGGTTTCTGATCTTGCAGATCTCTTTTCTACATACATATCCAACTAGCTCAATTTTTTTAAAAAAGTCCCAAAGAACTCGAACCTGGTCAATAATATCAGCGTTTGGATGTATTAAACACGCCTTTTACTCATTATATCAACTTATAGGCTTTTAAGTATTCGTAAAAAATTTGCAGCGCTTATTTTAATTAACTCGCCTCAGGAAAATTATATAATTACTTGAAATTTTTTTGGCCAAATACACAAATTGGCAAAAGAAAAATAAAATAAAACTAACTGAGTTAATTATCTTTAAAATATTTTTTTTACGATTTTAAGGTTTTAAAGTCTCTGTTATTTGTCCTATAATATAAATTAGCTTAATTAAAGTGTTAATTTTTTAAAAACAAACAGATAAATTTAAATTGCTTTTTTTTAAAAATCATTTTCGCATAATAATTTGAAATAATAAATCATATTATAAGTATATGTAATATCGTTAGGTCGGAAATAATTAAAATTTTAAATTATTTTTTTTATCCGAAAATAAAGCGAAATTTAATTATCTTCTTTTTTTCCCTGCTATTATTCTAAAAAAATTAAACCCTTAGATAAAAATCATATTTTTTTTAGTTAACTATAAAATAAGTGTTTATTTTTTTATAAAGACAAATAAATGAATTATATTTCTTAGTCTACTATAGAGCAAATTTTCGGTTAATGATGGTCACTACCTTAAGGTATCAGTACCTATGAGAGACCTTCATGGGGCTTAACTTTTTGACCAGGCCTGGCCCAGGCCCGGAGTAAAAAATTTTTAAGGCCCAAGCCCGGCCCGGCCCATATCTAATGTTAAAAAAAAATTTACAAGCCCGGGGCAAGCCCATGATAAGTTTCGAAAAAATTTCCGAAACCCAGCCCAAGCCCATATCCAAAAATTCAATTTTTTTAAAATTTATTTAATGAAAATAAAACAATATTTAAATATATTTAGGGCAATCATTTTGTTTACGAAACTGAAATTCGTTATTATTAGAAGAAGAAAAAGGCAATATTTCTTAAAATTAGCAACTGTTTTAAATAATCTAAATATTTTAATAATTTTTAGGCCCAATCCCAGCCCGAGACTATTTAAACAAAATTTTAAATCAGGTCCGGCCCAGGCCTGATAATAGAAAATATAATATTAGACCCATACCAGGCCCACCCTGCGGGCCGCGGGTCGACCCGGCCCATGAAGGTCAAGAAAGAAAGAAAGAAAGAAAGAAAGAAAGAAAGAAAGAAAGAAAGAAAGAAAGAAAGAAAGAAAGAAAGAAAGAAAGAAAGAAAGAAAGAAAGAAAGAAAGAAAGAAAGAAAGAAAGAAAGCCTATCAAAATTGTATTTTGTTTATTTTTTATTTGGATATGCACTACCAAATTTATTTATAATATATATCTGTAAAATCGTGATTTTTGGAATGTCTCCGTGGCCTAGTGGGCAAGAGTGTCGCTTACCAATCCGATGGTTACGTGTTCGAATCCCAGCAATGATTATGTTTATTTCTCCTATGGGGGGATGATATATAGAGACCGGACTCGTTAACGTGATTCCGTTACAACATATGTTAAATAATTAGGGTCTCATTACATTTTAATAAATTTTGGTCAATATTTTGCAAATTTGGTTGGTAATTTAGAAAAATACGTTGACTCGAATCATTTAACCCAAATTTTCCGAGAGGATGAAGAAATTGATTTTAAAACGATATAGATTTTTGTTAAAACGTATCTAATTTTCTGTCTTCTCGACATTTATGATTCCCACCCCAAAGCACAAATGTGTATACTATTGCTAGGTATAATTTTTTTATATTTAAAAAAATGAGTTTATATAACCGGCCTTTTATTTTAGTAGAGTTTCTAACCTTCTTCTTTAATATTCAGAGTTGGAGATGTGTAATCAATTACGAGAGCGTGTAAGTCTTTAGAAGTGTGCTAAACCACATTTATATGAAAGCAAAAGCGGATTTCCATGATAGAAAGTGCAAAATCTACTATAAGAAAAGAAAAAAAATGCGAGGAATTTTCAAGAATTTAGATTTCGATCATCTTACTAGCTTCACAAAACACCAAAGGCTGATACAAACCAAGTCATCCGACAATCAAAACCCTTGAATATCAACGGCTTACTTATTTTCAAAAATTTAAATTTCAATCATCATACTAGCTTCACAAGACATCAAAGTGCTGGTACAAACTGAGCCATCAGACAATTAAAACCCTCTTGAATGACTTTTCCTGGACAAT